CACGTGCATGGCTCAAAAATAACCATCAGGCATGTTGAAATTTGAGTGTGGTCTAAAAAAAAACACTCGAAACGAGAAGTATAACATATTTGACGATACCATCCAAAAGCAATCGAGTGCACAACACTGCCCATTTAGTGTAATTCTCACTCAGTAGCGTATAAATACTAGTCAGCGTCTCCTATGTGTAAGGGAGTTGGGTTTCCCGAGAGGTTTGGCTAACACGAAAGGCACTGTGCTACCAATGAGACTGCAAAGCCGAAACACGTGTATAGCACTGTATAGGTATCCATAAGAGACCACGTGCATGGCTCAAAAAGAACTATCATGCATATTGAAATTTAAGCGTGGTCTAAACAAACACTTGAACTTAAAGGCATAATATAGTTTGTATCCAGTAAAATTATGGTACGGACCTCTTCATCGGAGTTGATGCTTTCCTCTCAAGCAGCGCTTCAGACGACTTGATCCTCTTCACGTCTTTCGCTGAATTTTTTGGTGCATTAGAGCCAGGCGAATTCTGCGAAGTTTGATCGCACAGTGGCCGCTTCATCGTTATCGATTGGTGCTGGAAACGTTGATCTCTGATTTGTGAGTTGTATTGGATCTCTCAGCTACAACTACTCTCAGCAATTAGCATAAATACAAACCGGCCATGAGGCACGGCAGAACTCGATAACGAATAGTCGCAATGGCCTAAAACAATGTCGACGACCACAAAGCCACCAAAAATCGACACTGACGAGAGAAAATAGATCAGCACACGAAGAAGTACCTTCGAATATTTGCGTAGATCCTCATGAAAAGAGACAAACGGCTAGACGTCCACGACCGACCGCTCGGGGGCACATCTCACTCACGATCCTATCAATAAAATTACACCGTGTTTGATTTCAATTTTTCGCGCGCTTAGGCTTATTAGCCGTAGAGCGAGGAATCTCCGGCTATTAGGTGTGCACGCGCAGATTTGGTACTCATTTGAGATCAAACAGCAGGACGTGGTTGGGTCCACGGAAAGCAATACAAACCGACCAGGTTACATTATTCTCGTTACATCAAAACTGATGAGGCCGTCTAGCGCTTCATTTTGTTGATTATGGTGCAGAGACAATAAGAATTGATGAACACCATACTGTACATGCCACGATTCAGATAACCAATAATATTAACGTATCGCAATACGTTTATTTGACCGTTTCTTGCGGTGCTGTGGTCTTATAATTAACCCCGTAATGTGGAGCGCTGTGCAAAAACGTCTACATCAGCCGGGATTCGAACCCAGATCTCACTCTTTCCGGTAGCGTATGCTAACCGTTGCACCAACGACTCTCGTTTTGCATAGCACTCTTTTCACGCTATAACACGGGACAGCCGCTATCGGCATTGAACCCACTTGTGCTGACAGATACTGGGTATCAATAATCAGTCGCAATACGTTTATTTGATCGTTTCTTGCGGTGTCATGGTCTTATAATGTACCGGAAAGAGTGAGATCTGGGTTCGAATCCCTGCTGACGCAAACGTTTTTGCACAGCGCTCCACATTGTTGGGAATATTAAGATATTATTGTACATCCCTAGACGACACAAATGGAGGACGATGACAAGAGACAACCGTCTACAATGACTAGTAGAAATGCGTATGCTTAATCGTTCCCAAGAAGACGGTCAACTAATCGCAGGATTTGCTACCGTTACAGAAATTTCTGCTGTTCCTAAAGACCAAGGCGACGAAATTCCCACGGTTGACGGCCATTCAAAAGCAAAACGATTAGAAAAAAGTGTGGGGATCCAGACCCAAGATTGAAACACGATGCTATATTTTTACCCAGTGATGTAGAGTAATGTGCAAAAGTATGGCGTCAGGCGGGACTCGAACCCGCATCTCTCACTCTATCAGGGCAAGGTTCAACGTCGATATCGACTACTCGGGCCAAGCCTTTGACGGTTCACGGCTGACAGATAGATGCGGTGTAGCGTAGAAAGAGTGGTGTGCAAAATGGGCGTTAGTAATGCAAGGGGTCGGAGCACGCGCTTTCGGATAGACGCGCGGGTTCGGGTCCCGGCTGACGCGAAGGTTTTGCACATCACTCTACATCACTGGGTATATTAGTGAAATCTTAACGTCGCTAATGCAGTTAAATAAAAACAATTCCTCTATATACCAAATAATGTGGAGGACCGTGCAAAAACATTTGCGTTAGCCGGGATTCGAACCTAGATCTCACTCTTTTCGGTGGTGCAAAGGTTAGCATACGCTCCCGGGAAGAATGAGATTTGGGTTCGAATCCTGGCTGACGCAAATGTTTTTGCACGGCACTTCACATTATTGGGTATATTAGAAGATCATACCCGCAAGTGGCGGTCAGATAAAACAAATTTTGAATTCCTCTTTATTTCTACTCAAAGCCATTCTAATAACAGCGTGATTCGGTGAGTTGTTCAGCACACGGTAGAATTCTCCTCAATAAAATGACGGTGGAGCTCTTTTAGCGTAAGACTTTCGCTACAAAGTCAATTATAGGTAAGGTATTAGTCAGAGCCAACCCATAAGCGTACTAGAGCGTAGAGGATATGGCCCAAGCAAAACCAGAACACGAAAAATGAACCAATCATTCGAGGTCTCACTCAGATCATCGCATATAAACACGTTCTGTCTGACATTCTGCAAATGACAGAAGGCTTCTATTCTTTAGTAGTACTGTAGAAGACTGTCCACCAACAACATCATGTTTTCAAAGACAGAAGAGGTCATAAAGCCTTCTGTCAGTGTCACCAAATCGACCACGAGATTTTCAAGCATTACATGATCAATAGAATCTACTACAATTCCGGCTATACTTTATCGTCCTTATAGCAGTGTTGTATCGTTATGAAATTCAATGATATTCAAAGCTTTTGACTGAAAAGGAAGCTGCACCCTCGTCTCACCCATACCAAATCGCCTCCGTATGGGTGGAACGCGGTCTCAACTCCCATGTGGGGTTGAAAGCTTTGCATATCGCTCGGCATCCTTGAATACTGCGTGATTTGATTAAATTGTCCATGTGTTTTTACAAAAGAATAAGCGATCACAACGCGCTGGTTCGCAATTATAAGGCCTGTCTGCCGTGTTCATAACACTCTGGAAGGCGATGACGCGGCCATGGCGCAGAGTAACAACATACTGGTAAGAGTCTAAATTCTTTCTATTTTGACTGCCACTTGCAGTGGTATGATCTTTATAGTATACCCAATATGTAGAGTACTGTGCAAAAACGTTTGCGTCAGCCGGGATTCGAACCCAGATCTCACTCTTTCCGGGAGCGTATGCTAACCGTTGCACTACCGACGCTCGCTTTGCACAGCACTCGGAAAGAGTGAGATCTGGGTTCGAATCCCGGCTGACGCAAACGTTTTTGCACAGTACTCCACATATTGGGTATAGTGGTAAGAGATCGTACATCCGACGTGCCGTGCTCGCAAGGCGCTGATTCGTGATAAGGCCAGTGTCCCGTGTTCATAACATTCTCGAAGCTGATTATGCGGGCTGCGTTTGGTTATGTCCAGTGTGTCGCGTTGATAACAGTCTGGAAGGTGATCATGGGCTTTTGCGCTGGGCTCACAGCTCGTTGGATAGAGATTGTGCAGCTAATGGGCTGTGCTCAGGACTCACTGATCCGTGGTTACAAAACATGTGTAATGTGCTTATGACACATCGGCGAGAGCTCTAACCGGTTATTGTAGTAATCGTTCGAAATCTCAAATCTCTATCTAGAACACTATTAGCTTCTTTTCTAAAAAGACCCTTTCATAACGCTGTAGCATTGGAGATGAAATTATATTTTACATCGGCCGCCCACTTTTACAATCACTTTGCTAGAAGCACGAAAAGTATATGATCATGTGGAGGAAATCTCGCACAATCAGAGTCATGCAATTTATCTGAAGCTTCTCTCAAAACGGAGAAAAAATCCGAAACTGAATAATAGAAATTTCAGCGTACGAGTGATTCGCACCACAGCGATCAATTGATCCATAGCGGGGTGCCGTGTCGAATCCACTGTCAGCAGACACACAGTGCTTGTACTAACCGGAAAACAAATGGGCCGCGTCTGTGTAACTCGGTCTTATTTTCTCTGCTATACTGTAGCAAAACAGTCGTTCCAGAAGATAAGCTGAGTGTTGGAATCATTGGAACTTGCGTCATCAGACGGTCAGTTATAATTTGAATAAGAAGTTCTATCCTGCGAGAAATACGTTTAAGTGAAAAACAATTTTTTTCTACTACAGCTTTATAAAAGGCCTTTTCAAAGAACGGTCACCTAGTGCATTAACCAGTGATTTAAGCTTTCGAATGACTACTTAAAGTTCAATGGAAAGTCTTTGTCTATCGAAGATATCTTTTCATTTTATTTTTCCGCAGATAATCGAAGAGAACCTGTACGTCCTTGGTTTAGTGTCTAAACATTCCTGTTCAGGAGATTGTAGTGGGGACTTTATGGATGACAAACATTGAGCGAATTTGACAACACGTCAGTTTTTTGTATGCCCATACTTTCCAGCAATATATATCTCCCGCTCAGTCATTGAACAGGAATTGTTCCGTTTTGGCAGGTAACCACAGAATAGGTTGACAAGTGATAGCATTCAATCTGACATGTTGGTAAGAATTGATGGAAGATTTCCCAAGATCTCTGAACATATCCTCTTCGGATCACGTAATGTTGGATTTTTCACTGTCAAACTAGCATATCGGATTTTAGGACGAATTTAGTGGAACAACAAATCTATCCTTTGGTGATATGCAAAACGTGGATGTCAGAAAGGACGCGAGCCCGAATCTCACCCTTTCCGTGGGAGCGTTCCCGCCCTCCTCCACAAAGGGTGGGATACGGGCTCGAGTCTTTCCTGACGTCAAAGCTTTGCACATCACTCATGATTACTGGGTATAAATTCTTTCTATTTTGACTGCCACTTGCAGTGATATGATGTTATAGTATACCCAATATGTGGGACGTTTGCGTCAGCCGGGATTCGAACCCAGATCTCACTCTTTCCGGAAGCGTTTGATAACTATTGCACTACTGACGCTCGCTTTGCATAGCACTCTTATTTACGCCATAACGCGTTGTCTGCCAACACCCAACCGTCGACGGTCTGGCGGGGCAGCCGCTTCGGCACTGAACCCACTTGTGTTGGCAGACATTGGATATCGATAATCAGTCTAAATTCTTTCTATTTTGACTGCCACATGCAGTGGTATGATGTTACGTTTTTGCACAGCAGTCCACATATTACTGGGTATATTTGTAGCTCATGACATCGGTGAAAGCGGTTAAATAAAAAGAATTCTGTTTAATCATACAAATATCTAATATCTCTTAGCGTAACTGGTTCAATGTCGATATTGAATAGTAGGCCAAACCGCTGATGATTGGTTGCTCACAGATTGAAGCACTGTTGTTAAAAAAAGAGTAGAGGTAAAACAGGCGTCGGTAGTGCATCTGGTTAAGCCCGCCTCAGCGCAAAATGTGAAGTGTGGGCTAGAGTCCCACCTGACGTCAGAGTTTTGCACAGATTATTCAGCAGAGAATGAAGAAGCGATCCCCTTCGCTGGACAGTAACTCTGCATAAAAGTGTTAGTGGTCATTCAAAAGCTTAATTCTCAGAAGATTGCCAAGAGTGTACGTTTCTTGAAAAAACTTTCTTATAGAGCTCCAGCATTGGAAATGAAATAATTTCACCATCGCCGCTCGCACCTATTTTATCACGCTTATAATTCCCTGAAATCACGAAAAGCATATGAACATAAGTTCCTTTCAAAAGGCAGAAAAGTCCTAAGTTCGATAACAAAAATCGCACTACATATATGGGCCGCTTGAGCGCCATCGATTGGTCGAGTATCGATTGACGGAACCACTCTATATCCTAGTTGACGAGAAATACGTCGCTTATGTCAAACTCAATCTTACTTTCTCTATCACACTTCAGTGAAACGGTTTTTTCAGAAAATAAGCACAATATTGCAATTACCCTAGAGTGCACTATCGAATGGTTACTTACGATTCAAAGAAAGAGCTCTGTCCTGCCAGAAATGAGCGTAAACAAAACACAAAACTTTTCTTTTTGTTACGGCGCAGTGAAAAGCTTTTATAAAACACAAGCACATATTCGAATTTTCCGAGGTCTGGGATATCGAAAAATTACTTGCAGTCTGAAGTTTTGTCTAGCTAAATATAGGCGAGATTATAAGAAAAGCACGTGACTCGTTTGAGAGATTATTTTATTTCAAATGCCCCAACGCTATAAAAAGTTCTCGCCAAAAACGAACAAGCACGGTAGTCCTCCGAAATTTCAGTTCCTAATAATTATAAGCTCTTTTATGAAAAGTCCTTGTCCAGCGAAAGGAATTGCTTCCTCATTCTCTGCCCGATAACCGATATGAACCCGATATTTCTTGTGTAGGCAATTCTCATAGGATAGTCGCGATAGTCGCGACATACCAAATAAGCGAAAACGAAAAATAATGAGTCACTATCAAAAAATTATTATTGTACATCATAAGGAATATTCTGATACCAAAGAAATTTTCGTATCCAGAGAGCCTATAATGTTCAACTACAAGAACTATATAATATTGTTCATTCACTGAAGACGACGAAACGACCCAGCTTCAGAGTTTGAGCAGGAGGACGAGCGGCTTGGGGAACGTTCAAGAGCATTGAAGATGTAGTGAAGAGGGCAAAGAGCATCCGCCTCCGTGCCCACTTTTTCGACTCGACAATTATCCCTGTCCTAACGTATGCAGCAGAAACCTGGTCGCTACGAAAGCAAAAAGGAAGATCGCATGGCTTTATTGAACGCGCAGTCGAGAGGTCGATGCTAGGAGTATGCCGTATCTCTCAAGTGAGAGAAAGGATCCGAAGTTTCGAAGTTCCGATCTTCGTCAAAGATCGAAGATCAAGGACGCCGTTTAGAACGCCAGGATATCGAAAATAAGGTGGACCGGACACATGATGCGCTTCAACGACAACCGATGGACGAGAGCCGTTACCGACTGGATTCCTCGGGACGTTGAGCGCTCTAAAGGAAGACCACTGACCCGCTGGTCCGACTTCTTCACGAAAGCGAACGAAGAAAGATATGATGCTTAGCGAATTCCTAAAGCGATAAAGACTCACTGTGCTATCCTTGCACGCAATGGGGAAAAATGAAAGAGTTGCGGGTTCCCGCTCGAGTCATTCGACGATCAACGGGGTGACAGGTGACACAGGTGATATAATATTGTGTAGTTGCTTTAGAGACCTTGATTTGTCATTTTTGAGAAAAATGATGGCTTTTTAAAGGGTTTCCTTTGAGGTTATTTAGATTTCAACCTCTCAGAAAAGATCAAAATGTGTAGCTACCTTCAGAAACTTATCGGTGATCCAAGAATGAGTTTCGTTGATCACTTTTTCATCTTCTCTCTCCTTCCTACGCGCTTCTCTCCTTATCTAATCGACTTTACTCATTAACATGACTTTCTTTGCAGATCGTTTAACCAGCTTTCTCTTAAGATTTTGTTGGTTAAGAAATGTTGCACATTATAGGCCTTAAGCCCTGTCAGCTGACGGTGACTTGGACACCGGTCATCAATCACTTCCCCAATTGAGAGTGGAAATAGAAAAGTTAACGGTAAAGATGATGCCGTAGAACATCTTGTGCTCTCACTTGAACACCTTGTTTTTGCATAAGACTGGAGCAGGATGTGAGAAATATCGTCTTTGAAAGATTTATCTCTTGTTGTCAAGTTGAAAATTAGTAAAATTCCTTATGAGATGCTGATATTTCCTTCCTGATATGGAATTCATCAAGGCTGAAGCTTGAACCTTTTCTCTTTACCGGAAAGTATTCTATCTTGAAACTTTTCTTGAAGAATTGGTGCGATTATAAATTCATTGACAGCAGGACCAGTTTGGGATTAAGTTACATTCAGTTCCTTCTTTCTTTTTCTTGGGAGGAGTGCGGAGAAGATAGCGCAGTGCTTAGTTATGCACCGTGTCGTTATGCATATTGTTAGAAACAAAGTACGGAAGATTCAAGACTTTTGTTGGGGATAACTGTGAAGGAAAAGTATCCAATGCATAAAGTTTGTGATATGCACGCTGAACATAATGACGAGCTATGTGAAGTAAAAGCTCATTTCTCTATTCTGTCGCTTAAACCAGTTGTGATCTTTCTAATGGAACTCTGTCTTCAGAATTGGCATGACTTCTGCGCAAGTATAAAAAACAAGCAAAAATTATCTACAAGTTTAATCTCTACATAAATAGATGGTACTGACAGCATAATTTCGTATACTTTCATTGTTTTGGATGACGGTGCCTCAGTTTGTGTTTGTAGTTTCCCCTGAACGTTGGTTCTGAAATGCACACATCCACTTTTGCTCATCTTATACTCTGAATTCAAGAAATATAAATACAAACCTCTGCTTCTCCATTTTCGCTTTCCTTTTTCCTTTCTAGTTCTCTTATACTAGGTGCCTTTGCGTATACCATAACAATCCCAAAAATAGATGCGCCGACACAAGACAAAAAGATCCCCACAGTCAGTAACGCACTGTAAAACATCTGCTAACAGTTTGGAATGTAACAGAAAGGAATAATCTCTAATTCAAGCTTGTTAAAATTTTTTCGCCATGCGTAACTTACTGAGTAAAGTAAAGTAAAGCAGCTCGAGACAAGTTATACTAGATAATGCTTCATTGTGATAAGTAAAGTGAAGAGAGGGAAAAGGCTGGGGGTGACTGAGTGAACAGTGATGCAGATCGGAAGCAAAGTACTGGTTCGTCCCCGTCCACGACACTCTCTTGCAAGTACGTGCGAACGCCTCAGATCGACTACATCCATTATTACAAGAAGATTCGACTCCACTACATTCTACGACGCTAATCAAAAGAAAGACATCCTCAACCAGCAACCGAAACAACACAAGAAATGTTTTAAGACTTGTAGTGCGGTAAATGCGACGAAGCTAATCGATTGCTGTAAGTGCTGAGATCCGCAAAGTGAAAGTGTGATAACGGATAATATAATATAAATAAGTTTAATGAAAATAAGTTGATTATCTTGTTCAAACCGTACAATCCAATGCCGTATTCCAGTGGTGGTCGATATACTGGTATTCTATCCAACATACACTCAAGATAGGGCTCTTGCTCAGCGAAAGTGCTCATGATTTTCCACGTGGATACATCAGACAATATCGAAGGCTTCATTAGAGAGTCGACGAGAAAAACCTGTTAAGCAAGCTGGCTAAAAGTAGAGTTTGAAGTTCGCACTTGGATATAGATTATCTTGAACCTTCAATCACCTTCAGCTTTAACTAGATCGTTCTTATAACATAGAACAACTCTCGCAGATATTTCATAGCAATAAACTTTTTTATTATCACTCGGCTCAACTTATACACTTCAAAGTCTATCTCAAGAGTAAGAATGAAAGAAGTCATAATTTAGATTAGGAAACGTCATATAGAACACCTGTCAGATACTCTTATAGAAATTACCTAAAGAACGAAAAGAAGAACAACAAACCCCTATATTCTCGATGGTGTTACAGTCATTTGTGTTGCAAAAACATGCAGCTATAACATTGGACTTGTTATTAAAGACTCCGCATTTCCGATTGAGCTTAAAATAAAACCTATCATCGGCGTCAGAAGGTAAATTAGCTAAACTGAGCCAGAGACTTGGCAGCGCGTTTTGAATTTTAGGCTTCTGAAGAGTCTATATGTTAACGTCAACATTCATCCATAGATCCTTTGGTGAATCCACAGCATGCACCCTTTTACTTTTCCTTTTAGTATTCCCATACCAAATCATTATTTGTGACATTTCCTGAAAGCTATTCGAGTCAAAAATTGGAAATTCTACCACAAAGAGTTTTCTACCCTAAAAAGTTTTCTATACTCCATTTTACTACCCCCTAGTGAAAACCTCCGTCTAGCAAAAAAGGCAAGCAGACTTGAGTGTAAAACACACTATACTCTCTGGAGGCAAAACGCAATCTTCTCTCCGTTGCTACAGCGTATCTAGGGATTCTTTTCAAAAA